TCACTATCGAACATTGGAATGTTAGTCAATTACTGCATTATGTGGTAATTGGGCTCAATTCCCTCACCCAATTACCACTTCCAAACGACCCCCTGAAGCATTTTCCTGTTTGCTTAGTCATGCTATTAGTTCTTATTTTCTTCATGGTATTAAGATTCATCGCCCATGCCCTGTGATTTCTCACTTTTTTGTGTGCAAATGACTCATATATCTTCCTTCGAGTCTCAGTTTCTGAATGTCATAGGTTGCTTCAAAAAGTTAGCTCTCATATATCTTCCTTACAGAAGTTTACAATAATTTTTAGTGCCAATGTTTCTTCGGTAGAAGCTAGCGCTCTTACTTTGCAGTTGGGAGTAGCTACTAGCAGTGCAAAAGATCACTACTTGGGATTTCCAAATCGCATTTCCATATTCAAGTAAGACACTTTTGCATACATATTCGACAAATTGTTGAAGCGTCTCCCTCAATGGAATTCCAAATCTATGAGTTTGGTAGCCAAAGAAATGGTCATTAAGTTAGTTTCATGTGCTACTCCCTTATATGCAATTTCTAGCTTTAGGTTGCCAATTTCATTTTGTAGGCGCCTTAACGATCATCTTTCTATGGTCTGGTGGTTGCCGAAAGATCATGAACAGGTATGTGTTGGTGCTCATGGCGAGCTCTTTATCGGCCTAAGCTAACTGGTTGTCTTGGATTTAGAAACTTTGATAGTAACAACATAGTCGTCCTAGCAAAACAAGCTTGGCGGATTATTCAAAACTCGGATGGACTTCTTGCTACTACATATAATGTTGGTACTTTCCTAACTCAACCTTCATATTGGCCTCTCAAGGCACTCTCCCCTCCCGGGCGTGGCAAGGTATCCTTGAAGGATGTGATTTTCTCGTTCAAGGACTAAAATGACTCATTGGTTCCTTGAACATGGCTCACATTACAAATGAAATTTGATAACCCACAACTCCCCCTTCTCGGCCTCTTCTACTGCCTAATGCAAGTCTTCCATTCACTCAAGTTTCTTCTCTTATAGACCATGCTACGGGTTCTTGGAGAATAGAAGTGCTTCGACACTTGTTTGAAGAAGCAACGGTTTAGCTCATAATCAGTATCTGACTCGTCCCGAATATCACAACACAATCCCACCTAAGGCCTAAATATGAACCTTAGATGGGTGCAAAATAGGGAAAGTATGTTTAAATATCAACCTGGGCCAGTCCATGTACCCCTACTTCCATTGTTTGAAACATTATATAGCATATTGGTTTTTGGTTGAAACCTATGAGGTTAAAATCGAAACAAAGCAAAGGTTAATGGTTTGAAAGTACTAGATGAGAAGGATCACTCGGGTGTCGCTTCCCCCTAACTACTACCATGGCACGTGGACTCGAATGGGACGTTATGGGCAAGGCAATCATGAAACGCTAGGAGGTGCAACTATGGTTGAAGACCACACTCTCAATTTCCAAACCAAGGGATACATTATAGGCTACAAGAGTAGCCCTCTTGGTTAAGGCAATTGAGGGTTGACTTACCTTCTCCCTCAAACTGATGGTTGGACGGCTTAATCACGATTAACCTAGTTGATTAATTCAAGATAGTGGTTTGCCCTACAAGGTAGGTGGCTTCAAAAGCCCAAGGAATCCCAACTCAATTGAGCCTCTTCTAGAAAGGGGGGTTTCCCCTCTAACCTAGGTTAGAATGGCCAATTAGATTGCTAAGCACCAACATGCACAATCATCATGAAAAATACCTCAATCATTAAATTAAACAACACCCATAAAAAATCATTCATTTCACACTACAACTACATGGCAAATAGTTAGGGTTTCACAACACCCAAGTGAAAAAGAGTACTACTCCATGTTAGAAAGGGGAAGAACACAAAAGAAAGAAGTAGAAACCATCATGGAGATGCCTCCACTCTCCTTTGATCTTGTGTTGATCTTCTCTTGAGGAGATTCTTCCCAATTCACCACTTGGAGCAAACCCTGTCCTTCTTTCTTCTTTGGTTCGTCCTTTCTCTCTCTAAAATCTGAAGAAGAAGACACTTTCTCACTCTTGGGCTCTCCCCTCTCTCTTCCTTTCAGCTCACATTTTATATTGGGATCGGGCTTAGTTCACGGCCTCAGTTCACGACCATGAACTCTTCAATGTGTACATGAACTTGAAGCGCTATGTCGAAACGCACCACTTCACTCACATTATTTCACGGTTTGCACTCAAAGTTCACGGTCTTATTGACCTGAACTCGCCTTGCGTCAGTAACTTCACAATTCCCCCTGGACGTTTCGCGGTTCACGGTTTTGGGCTTCCGTTCACGGTCGTAGGAGACCGTGAACCTGGCCTGAATCACCCTCTTGGCCTGGTCTTTGCTCCTTTTCTTCCAACTTTCTTTGGTCACTTTCTGTGCCTCCCAAATTAAAGTTTTTTCTTTGGAGATTGATTAAAGAATTTCTTCCTATTAGAGATGTTCTTAGGGATAAGGAAATCATTGATGATGATGATGAATAAGAAGAAGAATAAGGGGTATTATGTCTTGTTTGTTCAGCGGCATTGGAGACCTTGGTCCCTCATTTTTTGGAATGCAGAGTTGTTGTCCAATTTTGGCACTTACTAAATCTTGATCATATGCGGCTACATCTTCAGTTGTGTCACATTGCTATTGCTTGGAGGTGGATTTTCTTTGATGCATGTCTTATAAAGATGTTAATGGATTGCTTCATGTTCCTTTACCGGCGGGTTTGGCAATCTAGGTGCTCGTCAACGGCCTGCCGATGATGGTGTTCACTTCTTTCTTCACCCTTTGTTGAAGCAATTTGATGTGTAGGTGGTTAAGTGAGATCTTGACCAAGCTAATCCACCAACACGACGATGAGGCTCCAAAATCGGGGCAACTCGACTAGTCCCACCATTTCTGCCCCTTGTATTATTCGTCCTCACCATATATTAGTTCATTTTGATGGGGCAATTAAGCTTCAGAAGGAGGTGTTGTCATTTTTGTAGGTTTCCCAGGAGAGCAAACTTTTGAGTTTGCATTTGGTCGCTATTATGCTCACATCTCTGACCCTTTCATTGTTGACTCATGGCTCTTAGAGACGCCCTTCGTTGGTACCTTTCGCACTCGGTTACTAAGGTGTTTTTTTGTGGTGATGCACATGTGATCATCCGGATGGTCAATGCGAAGCACACGTCACACATTTTGGGAGGCACCATACTACAGGAAGTTCTTGTGTTTAACTCCTCTCTTCATCGTGTTTCGTTTCATTTCGCACCCCGCAGGTATAACAGGGTTTCTCGTTCAGTGGCAAAACAAGTCTTCTTATCAATGTCTCAACGTCTTGTTGATCATCTCCCTTTCCTTCTTTCTATTTTATGAGTACCATGGAATTTTCCCGTATATATTAGTCTTTCTGGTCTCGCGGGTATTGGGAGGCATCCCAGAAAGGTTGCCTTGTAGTCCTTCTTTGGCCATTATGGGCCATTTTGGTTTTATAGTTTCATAGGTTATTGTTTTATTTCGTCGCTTTCTCTCAGGAGAGTAAATGCTACGGGTAGCTCATTTTCAGTGACAGAAGCTTGTATACTTTTGATATGTTGTTATGAGGATTTGTTGCTCTAGGTTTCAGGAGTTTGGTCCATGATTTTATCTCTGCAAAAAAGGTATAAGTTTAGCCACACAGTGGTGGCGGTGTGTGTGTTGGTTTTGCAGGTGAACCTCCTGCTGCTTTTGCCAGTTGTAGGATGAAGGGAGCTTGGCTGAGAATGTAGAGCGGTGGGGTGTGTAGCAAGAAAAGGATCCAATTCTAATGTTCTTGCTTGCTTTTCTGGCTTCTGTGTTTGTTCATTTTGCAAGTTAAGCTGCTTATATGGAGCTTGAATCGTCCTGCCAAACCTATAAGGAGTTGCTTCTCTGCTTTAATTTTTAGCATTGTTAGTTCAAAATTTTGATCCTTTCATGGGGAGCGGATCCGGTCAGTAACCATGCATAACTCAATCACCATCCGCCACATTAACGCCCCTTCTCTCTCCTATAAAGCCTTTAATTTTTTTCCCTTAATATTTAACGGACGATTTCTCACTCGTTTTAAGTCGAAATTTAAATTGTTCTTGTACAGTTAGATCAAATTAATTGTGCTCTTCAAAATGATATCCACTTTGATATATTTTTGGAACAAAAATATTGAGCCATTTTTTTACCAGTCTATACCATATGGTATTGACTGGTATTGAAATAAAAGCATGTCATATGGTATAAAGCATTCCAAGGTGGTATGAACATATCAAGACTGTAGGATGGTTGAATACATGATAGTAGGAGTGTCATTTACGACTTTCAACATTGTGTACCACAAGATACCACCCCGTACCAGGGTGGTATTGTGTGGTATTTTTTGGTCATGTATTTTGTTCACCCTGGAAATTTTTAGACCCAATAGATCATGATGAACACGTTCTTTCTATGCAAAAATTTAAAAAATGACAAACAAAAAAGATACCATACGGTATGCAGTTGATAACGAGAGGCATGAAAAAAAATATATCTTCTTCATTTTTTAGAGCAGAATAAACTCGTTCCATCTGTGAAAAAAAAAATTTGAAATCCGAGTTAAAAACGAAGAAGATATTTGCCGATTAAGAAAATAAGAGAAAAAATGTCTTTATTTCTCCGCTTTTAAATATGGATTTTCTGAGGCTGGAGCCCTTTTCAAAGGAAGAAACCATGATATTATCCATATCATTCAGATATCATAGAATTGCACATATCGTGACAAAAAAGTTATATTATTGTCAGACCTTTTTCTATATTTGTGATTTATCCTGCAACGTCATGTATATATACTTGGTAGATGTTTTTTCCTTTTTAGACTTTTCCCTTCTGGGAATATCTATGAAAAAAAATTAACTGCACCTCCTAGCGGCAAGAAAGGAAAGCGAGAAGACAAAACACACGCACAAAACAATTGAACATTGGAAGCTTATAAAGGTAGTTGAAAAACAGAAGAAGCAAGCATAGAAACCTGAGGAATCCTCCTTGGTCGGATTGGACTCCTGTCTATCATTCCATCAGATGCATCGACATTCTTCGTAATCCCCATTTTTGTTTTCATTTATAAGCTCCCCCCTTACCTCCTTCATTACCACACTCATTTGCTTTCCCCCTGCTGCTTGCCCTCTCAGCACCCACTTTCTCTCCACAAATTTCCTTAACTGGGTTCTCATTCTCATTCCTTTAACCTCCTAATCCTAAAAGTTGCCAACTTTCTTCTTCTACCATGGAATTGGGACAGTGATTATTGCCCTGCCTTGAACCAAACCAGAAGCGGCTACGAGCCATCCGATGCAGAGACCGATTGGAGGGAGAGCCCCATCCAAACCCGCAGCAATGGAGGAGGAAGGGCAACAAACTTCGATTCCGACACTGACATGGAATTACCTCCACAAAACCTCACTTGTTCCAGCAGACAACAACTGAGGAAGTTTAATGGAGGCGATGAAAACAACAACAACAACCTTGATCATGACCACAATTCATCTTCTCCCCCTGATGCAGCAGCTACTTCCATCTCCAGCTCCACTAGGCGCAAGGCAAAGAACCCCCGAACAAGGAGCAACAGTAAGGATCAGGAAAATGGCGCCTACAAAGATGAGAAGCTGAAGAAGAATCATCCTCTGCAATAACTTAACCCTTCCAGGAGAGCCTCAATCGGGGAGCTGAACGAGCTCATCGGTACGATGAAGCTCTCCAGAGCCCTCCCTTCCCTGGTAGAGGGAAAGGGAAGCCTTTGTGCGAGAGGACGGATTCACTCTCGCCAGGTGACATCTTCTTCTCCACAGATGTGACTTGTGCACTGCCACCATCCATCCAGCAGACGGGCTTTTTAGCTCATAATAACAACAAGCAAGAGGCCAAAGGGAGCGAGGATATGAACATGAATGATGACAAGGCGTCCAGGCGGAGTTACTTCCACAGCAGCGGGAAGATGAGCGAGAGAAGGACTGAGAGCGTCAAGGCATTTGTGGCCAACAGGAACAAGTCTTGGCAGTCGTCGGATTCTAATTGCATGTCTTGTATCCAAGGAAGGAGTTGCAGGACAAATCACAAGTCGCCAGAGAAGAAAACAGTGAATGAATCTTGGTATATTAGGAGGGCTAATGTGGTCGAGAGTTTGAGACAGTTCTGGGCTGATAAGTACCAGCCGTCGTCGTTGAAAGCATTCAGTTACCATAAACAGGAGGCTCAGCTTCTCAGGAAGTGTGAGAACCCCGCTTCTAGGGATTCTCGATACTGATCTTCGGCACCCGTGAGATTTGGATTTAGGGTTGAGATTAGGGATTTAGATGAGAAGAACAGAATAGAATTGGGAATCGGCCGAGGCCTTGGATTAGGAGAGAATAGACATTAGGAGTTAAGAGGAGAGTTTAGGGTTTAAGATACTTTTCGTAATATTGTTCTTGACTGATTATGACGTAAACCCAAAGTACATATATATAGGAAATACTGGAAAACCCTAACGAATAACCTAATTGGACTAAATCTCTACTAACCATAATAATAATTATCCTATCTAATATAATAATAGAAACCATATATAAATGTGTTTCTCACATTCCATCCCCCTTGAGAACAACCTTGACCTCAAGGTTGTAGTTGACTTCTATCTCCTTGACCTTCCGCTTTCTTCGTTTCCAATTGCGCTCGATCCCTTGCATCAACTCTTCTCGCGCAACTCCCACTTTCATTGTCTCTTCTCCACCCACGTGACACATGTCACGTTCGCCATAGCCGGACAATTCTTCTTCCTTTTCGAATTCCACGAAATAAGAATCGGAGAATTGTTCTTCGTCTTGCTTCTCATCACGCACCAACTTGAAATTTTCAAAGAATAGCTCCATAAATTTCTCCATGGACTTGATGGTGCCAACAGCCCATAACATTTCCCAACCTTCCTTTTCCAGTCCCTTGGGTCGGCCCACATTGGCTTGGATGAATGAGTTGTGATCCTCACCTAAGGCAGGCCTCTCCTTACCTTTAACTTTGTTTGGGCTTGTCTCCTCTGAAAGCCCAAATGCTAACCCAACTAAGTCATCTTCTTTCTTGCCTTCTAAGTTTTCTCCACACAAAAGAGACTTAATCACATAACCCAACCGAGGCCCAAGCTTCAAACTCGGCCCAATACCTTCTAGAGACCAACTGATATCTTTCTTATCTGGCCCTTGATGTATCCCATTCCCAGCACGAACCATTGACCCACGTGAAGACCACACAGGTATGTGTTTTGGACCGAATGTTGGCCCATCTGGAGCTGTGGCCCAATTCTTTACATACTTCGGCCATTTTCTTCCTTGCAGATACGAGTGCTCTGACTCGATCAAGCCCTATGCCCAATTGAGTTGGCCCATTGAGGCGGCCCGCTGCTGAGCTGCGCAGCCCAATCCCCCCGAACTAGGGTCGGCCAGAGGCGCGCCACCCCTCCTCCTCTCTTCGTTCGCCTCGACCTCCCGCGACGGCGCATCCTTCGTTACCCTGCACCGGCGGCGACTTCGGGTTGGAGAGAAGAGTGACACCACCGCCTCCTCCTTTCGCCGGCAGCTCCTTTCTCCGCACTTCCTCTCCGACGGCGCATGCTTCGATCGCTCCCGCCGACGGCACGGCGGCCACCCCCAACCCGCCGCCGCCCTCAACTCCTTCCCTATCGGCAGCTTCGACGTCCTCGCCGCCCGCTTTTCCGCCGACTGCGAGTCGTTGTTGGTCGTCTCCTTTCTCAGCGGAGTCCCGCCCAGCACTGGGCACGGCGACCAGCTCAGATCCGCCGTCGTCTTCAACTCCGTCTCCTGCGGTGACGAGTACGTCGTCACCACTCGGGGACCAGTCACCGATCGTCGAGTGGCTTGCGTGATTGGCGACGTCGACGAGCCCCCCGAGATTTTTGCCGCTACCTCCTCCTTTCCTTCCGCCAAACACCGCTGTGCTTCTTGATCCGCCGTCTTGATCGTCGGGAGAGAAACAGGGACTGCGCCCGTGCTCCTCTTCTTTCTGAATTTCCACCAGTCGATTGGAGGATTCAATTGGGCTGGCGTTGATCTGGAAGCAACATGAATTGATGTTGGGACAACATCGGTGGTGGTTGGTGACGACTTAGCGAAGGAGATTGAAGCCTCTACGGTGACTTCTTCTTCCTCAATCAACGATTTCCGCGTATCCTACGAGATGATGATTTTCGGAACCTTGATGGTGAAACTGCCTTCTCTGAAGCTAGCGCGACATTGTGAGACATTGTAGATTTCTCCGAGTTCGATTTGCTTTTCGAAACGGATCCATCTGCGTTCGTAACCCAACGAACGCTCTGCTGTAATTGTTAGCACATTTGATTCAATCCTTTGTACATCTAGGTGCTTAGCCTCGAACCCAGGCAAGGAAAAGAATAGCTTGATGCGATGCGGATATTCCTGTTTGCAGATGTTTGGCTCGAAGTCTTCATAGATGCGCTCATCCCCGGTTGAGAGTTGTGATAAACTCATATTCGCAACCGGAGCTCTGGTACGAGTGCCACAACCGGGCTCTGATACCAATTGTGAGAACCCCGCTTCTAGGGATTCTCGATACTGATTTTCGGCACCCGTGAGATTGGGATTTAGGGTTGAGATTAGGGATTTAGATGAGAAGAATAGAATAGAATTGGGAATCGGCCGAGGCCTTGGATTAGGAGAGAATAGACATTAGGAGTTGAGAGGAGAGTTTAGGGTTTAGGATACTTTTCGTAATATTGTTCTTGACTGATTATGACGTAAACCCAAAGTACATATATATAGGAAATACTGGAAAACCCTAACGAATAACCTAATTGGACTAAATCTCTATTAACCATAATAATAATTATCCTATCTAATATAATAATAGAAACCATATATAAATGTGTTTCTCACAGGAAGCTTGTAAGAGATGGATGATGATTGATTCAGAACACAGCCCTTGTTTCTTTGTGAACTGATGACCTACCTTTTGGTTAGGTTGTTTTTCAGGTGTCTAGTGACAGTATCCCTCATTTCATGTTCAAAGGGCCATCCATCTCTGGGAAGAAAGCTTTGATGACGGCGCTTCTTGGTGACATATTCGGAGATGCTTGCTTGCAGATGTCCCATGACTTGAGATTCTTCCAATCACAGGTAAATTCAATTCTGATTAACCTCATCACTCAGAAGCATACAGGACAGGAGTGAGAATCTGTTCATCGTCCGGTGGGCATGTGACAGGAGAGAAAGGGAGCCCAGGTGGTGGTTCCAATAACATCAAGCGCTCATCATGTGGAGCTGAACGTGAAATCGGAACCAAACGCCATGAGTGCGTTGATGGGTTTGGTGAAGGAGATCAGCAACGCCTATTCACTAACGCCACAAGTCAGCACCCTCAATTTCAGACCAGACTACAAAGGTTGGTTGGTTGGAATTGGAACATTTCAAACAAATCTCTCACGGACATTTCAGCAAACACTTTATGATCATACCTTGTGACGGTCTCACTAATCCACCTTTTTTGGCCGGGTAGCTCTCCAGTTATACTTCTTTATGAGGCTGACAGAGCACCGGAGAACATCCTGCATCTCATCAAATGGATCATGGACTGCTACACAGATTGCTGCAAGCTCATTCTCTGCTGCGACGATGATGTCCACATGCTCGAATCAGTGAGAAATCGGTGCAAAGTTGTGAACGTCAATGCTCCTGCAACTCATCAAGTAAGTAGACGTGACATGATTATTTCAGCTATTTTGAACAGTTATATAACAGCACACCTCGGGTTTTGTGGTAGATGATGGAGTTTCTTGTTCGAATATCAAAGAAAGAAGGGTTTGATCTACCCATGAGCCTTGCTGCTAAGATTGCTACAAAAGCAAAGGACTTGAGAAGCGCAATCATGGCACTTGAAGCTTGCAAAGCACACAAGTAAGAAAGAACAACAAACAAACAAAAAAACAACACAAACTTTACTGGCTCATCTTACAACCTCCTTGTCCATGCATCCAGTGAAAACTGAATTCAAGTTCCATCATCATAAATCTGACTTCCTTGCAGCTATCCTTTCGCTAACGATCAACCGATCCCAATATTCTGGGAAGAGGTGCTGGTAGAAATCGCCACCAAAATCATGGCTGATCCCTCTCCTAAGAGGTCTGTGTCTCTGGTCATGCTTGTGTTCACCTTATTTCGGTTAAGGAAATGGTACTATATTCCGTGTTTTTTTATCAGGTTGTTTCTGGTGAGGGGGAAGTTGCAGAAGCTGCTAGTTGATTTCGTCAGTCCCCAACTTATTCTTCAGGTACCACATTCTCTCCCACTCCCAGTCTTCTTCGCTCGCAGCATCTCCATCGTTGTTCATTTTACTAATTGTTGTGTCTCATGGTGGTGTCTTGAACAACGATGCCAGAAACTTGTGGAGCTAAAGTGACTGGCTTCTGGGCCTTGTTGCAGAAAAAGAGACTCCCAGCCGGTACAACTGCCTTGCTCGAGCTAGAAGGTAAGCAAACTCTTATCACTCATTGAAGATGAATGATCAAATACTAACTATTTGGTTGTGATTTTTCTTCTATGACTTATGCAGAATTCGTTGCCAAGTTCATGGGCATGTACCGGAAGAGTATAGGGAGTCGCCAGTTCTGACTCTTGAAGGAGTAATTTTGCCCATTTGGACATGCTATTTCTTCAAACTCACCCTTCGTAATTTGATAGAAATCATCGGCTGTGAAAGAGGTCTCCTGTAAATTCGACCTTCCTCGATCCTCTATTTGCCAGACCCAAAGATCTAACTGTGAACAAGAGCTTACCACTGCCAGGTGCCAGCTCCCTCAAACTAGATCGTCCGACTTCTTTCACATTTTATTGCTGTTAAGATCATCCACAGAACTAGCCTTTTTTTTTTCCAAATCAGGGTCATTTAGCCAATTAGGGTTCCTGTGCTCATTGTTTATATTCAACTACTCCAGATTGAAGCTACCAACGCATCTAAATAAAAATTAGCAATTCTCTGCCCGGGGAAAAAACAAAACAATGAGAAACATTGTATTTACTTATCAAGAGGGTTCAAGGATAATACAAAATGAAGGATCCAGCAGGTATTCAATCTGAGCTACGCACATATCGCATGAACCATTCTACAGTTGATCATTTTCTTGTTACGAAATAGAGGAGGGGAAAGTGGTAGATGTTGCAGTCAATAACAGCTTCCAACATGCAGAACACCACAAACTTACAGCAAGTACCCAAAAAAAAAAATCCCCGTTTCTCTCAGTTGTGTAAATCTCTGATGATATCCGAGCTCCTACCACCATCCTGTAGCTTTAGTCAGTCTCGTGACTTGCTACTACTTTCAGGACGCTTGTTCCCAGTATACTTCTGCAAATATCCAAAGATGAGGTATTAACTACAGATTAGTCAGGTGGCAAAACAAATTTGGAGAACCAAAAAAGGAGGATAGTTCTAATATGTCACAAGGCAGACAGTCACGTAGCACACTGACCTTCTTTCCCAAGTCGAATGGGACATACTTATACTTGATCATATGCATGATTTGTTTTCTCATTGTGAGAACAAAGAGAACAATCCAGTACAGCACTAGTATCGGCCAGAAAACGGGTACGTCGAACACAGGGAAAAGGGTCATGAATGAAGCAACAAGAAATGCCTTGGTGAAGGTGTACCTGTGAACATCGACCAAACAACTATGTTGGAAAAACTACATCTCGCTACATTTCAACACATTCCATTTCAAGGCATCACCAATACAGCTAAACATAGGACAATATGAAGCCATATCAACTAAATGAGCACCAGAAGCATTGTATTCCTTTTCACATGAAAGTTCCCTTAACGACTGACCAAATTTGTTATCTCGAGTCCTTAATTAGGCATGTTATTAAGCAGGCAAGGCATTTGAAGCTTGAACTCATAAACCAATTGCGACTGCATGGCAACTAAACAAGCAACACGATAGTGAATCTCAAGGGCTACTTACAGTAACAACGCACTAAATAACACAGTGAAACAGAAACACGAACCCACAGGGTAAACCAAAATTTGACGGAACTACATTGCAGGAAGCTGGTAAACAAACGTCTGACTTCATCAGAAGCACTGGTCTGAGCATCAAAGTGTACAGCTAAAGATACTGAAGTATGATCATTAGAATGAGATACTCCCATTCACAAGAAACAAGCAAGTTAATGGATAACCGTTTCTTGTTGCTGTGTACAGCCAAGAACAAGCAGCTGTACATTAGGGTTCATCGTCAACTAACACCTAATGAGATCTCCACGGAGCAAAAGAGATCATCATCCAGAAACCACGAAAACGAAGAGCAGAACTACCACAGAATCCTAATCGCGTCTCGGGACAGAGCTGTCCCGAATTCCTGCCTTCCAACCAAAGCCAATTGATGGTCCGTCTCCCAACTTCCTTACTCCCAACTCTCAAAGAAGTAAAGACTGTAATACTGCTAAAACTGCAAGTTTACATTAAGCTCGAGAAAATTTACCAGAACTTGAACTCAGGAAGCCTGCGAACAAACGGCCTGAACTCATCGGAAGTCTTGGTCGGCAAAGAAGCTCCATCAAGAGATTCAAGCTCCGGATCGACCTTCGGGGAAAGGAATTGAATCAACAGATTAAGAACGTAGATCCCGAGCCCGTACGAGACGACATAGAACCCCTGGACGTAGTAAATCCGCAAGGCGTACAACAGGGCCACCGCAAGCGTTCCGAGCCACCTCAGCGTCGGCTGAGGCACCGATCTGTCGAGATAGTACTGGAACAACCTTGAAAAGTCGCTGCACCACTTGACAAACGGCGGCACGCTTTGAACTCTTGCTTCCGCCATTGTAGCCGAACCCAAGGGTTTCGACTCGCCGGTGGCGTGGCGGTATTTCTGGTTGTCTTTGTTTGGGGGATTGGAAGTGAAGAGAGGATTTGGTGCTTCTTGATCTTCAAGGTGCGAGAGGGAAAAGCATATTAATGGTCCATTTTCGTCTCTAGTTGGTAGTATATAGCCACACTACAGCAACCGTGAGAAGAAAAGCATATTATCCGCGATACTTACTGCCGCATTCGGACCGATTTACCCTTTTCCTTTCTTCTCCGTTTCACCTTCTGCTTCCTTTTCTTGTACGTTCTTCTCCGTTTCGTCTATTTTTCCTTCTTCAACGCAAGTCAGTTCTAACTTCTAACCAAAATACATCATGAACTTCTCACAAAAATAAAATGGTAAATTTTAGAGTAAATACCACTATGGTAAATCATACTTGTCAACATTCCAAAACTTCAGTATTTTAATTGAGAGGAGAGTTACAAAATTATTAACGGTAACAGAAAAATGGCTAATATTTTGCAGCGTTACAAAAGATTTGGCTGATATTTAAAAATGCAGGAAAGGTTTGATTAATAATTAATATATTTACCCTAAATTTTATATAAAAAAAAAGAAAAGGTAAATAGGATGTTTGGTCACTAAGTAGACTAATTTGTATTACGTCAACCAATTAAAAATTTCACTTTCATTAATGGTCACTATGATTAAAATAAAAATTCAATTTCGGTAACTTATCGTTGATTTTGGCCAGACTCAATTAAACCCGTTAGTATTTTGATGACATAGCTGATAGGAACGTTGAGTCACCTATATTTTAACCTGAAAAAAATTAAACCTACTACGTCAAAAAAGTACAATGACAAAAAAAAGTACATAACTCGTTGCGACATCCAGCTTCGAAACCATCATCTACAACGATTCCATTACGTTTGTCAGGTCAATGCCTCCTCAAATCAACGAATCCCCCGCACAAATCTCTGAAAGTTCTATAATCATCACCTCGCCGGAGATTGCGTCTTCCGTTTCTGGTAGGAATGGCAATGGGGCAGGTCCGCGACGGGTATCACGATACTCATATCTGCCTCGTGACGGGTCGGGTCCAGGTCGGGTAATTTATCACGGGGCGCGGGTCGGGACAGGTCGACCCAATGGGTATGCAATTTATATAGAAAGCATTAGAAATATTCATTATTTTCATTAGAAAATCATAATATGATAAAATATAGTTAAATTATTGGAGAAATTGAGGTTCTCACTAATTTACAACTTTATAATAGCTAAAATATGATGTAATAAAAGGAGAATTCTACCTAATTTTACTAAAATTACATGTAATTTAGGCAAGAACGGGTTGAGATTGGGGTGGGTCAGGGCAGGTCGGGTCGATGAGAATACCCATGCCCGCCCCGCCCCAAAACAGGTCAAAGAGGTCGGGTAAAACGAGTCAGGTGGAAATTGTCATCCCTAGTTTCTCGCAACAAAAACCACTAGAAGCTTGGATTGTCGCTCAGAATCACCATTCCTTATTTCATCTGCGTGTGCTTCGTCATGGTCAGGTTCATCTCGGTCGAGAAATGGTAGAAGGGGAAAGGAACTACTGGTATGGAGAACGCAGACCTAGTGACTCAGCATTTGTGTCAGTCACTTCATCAAAATATGACAGCGTTAACGGACGAAAGTTAACGACTAGTGACAAAAAGTGAAATATTATTTTAATTATAATGACCATTAATGAAATTAAAAATTTCGTGAAAAAAATAAGTAATCTCAAGTGACCAAACATGCTATTCACCCCAAAATAAAATTTGATAAAATGAAAATTGAAAGAGACATTTTAATGGAAGGTGAAAATAAGACTCAAGATTAGGTTCTGTGTGAATTATGGAACCTCATGCTTTATGTGCCACCACCCAAAAAGTATTTTCCCCATGTCCAATCCCTAGCTAGTCATCTGAATCAGTGTCTAAGACCTCCGGACAAGCTAGTGATGACACCCATCTCATGAGCTCTAGCATTTAGAGGTTACCATCAGGTAGGGGTGGGCATTGGGTGGGTCGGGTGGATTTTGACCATAAAATGCACCCACCCGCTCTTAAACGGATTGATAATTTTTAACCCACCACCCACCCACATTTAGTTTCGGGTTGGGTCGGGCGGATGGTGGATGATGCGGGTGGGTTTGTGGGTTCACCCACATCACAATGTATATAATATATAAAGGAGTCAACTTGACATGATAATAGGTGAAGAGAATCATCGAGGGGAAGAAGAAGTTGAAATAGGGCGAAAAATGTCGAATTAGTTCTTAAATTGGATAGAAATTCTATTATGAAAGAGTTTTCTACAGATTGAGACGATTATTAGGTGCAAGGAACTAAAGAAAATAATTTTACAAAGGAAAGAGCGGTGATCTAGGCACAAGAATTAGAGGAAAAAGTAAATGGAAGAAGAGGGGATCTCTATTTGGAAGGTTGGCTTTGAGGTTCAAACTCCAGGAGCAGTCCGAGTTTATATCTAACGTCTCCACTCTCCTCTCTCTAGCGCCAACGACTTTGATCTTTTTGCTGTTGGGTTGAGCGGTCACCCGCACACTCACCCACAACCCACCCACCACCCGGCGGATGGCTCCCAGCGCAACCCGTCACCCACCCACAGACCCACCCACTTAACGAAATTCGGGTCAAATGCGGGTGGGTCGGCCCAAACCCGCGGATGATCCGCCCGCATGCCCAACCCTACCATCAGGGTGAAGAGACGATAAGGTTGAGTGTTGAGTATGCACATCTTTTTCATCAAAATGGTTCTGGCCCCACTGGTCGAGAGTGAGTAAATAATTCATCTTATTTTGTTCATATCATACCCCCGGCAAAGACCTAGTTTGCTCATTCGTTTATTTCTATGAAGTGATCTTTATGCATGGATAACTGTGGTTGGTGAGTCGTAATTGCAGGATATGTTTTGATTTGTGAACAAGGTGAGAACTTTTCGTTTGCACGATCTTAATATATTCGAATGCCATTTGTGGTGGTTGCCATGATTGCTTGTTGTTGTCCACATTTCAGTGTCAAATAGACATTGAGAACCCTCTACTTTGTGCCCTTTGACATGTCCCTAAGTTATGATGTTTAGGTTGAAATATTATTGTTGGTCTAATCATTAAGACATATGGGCCTCCAAGCCCATGATCACTAAAAATCCCATAAAGCAAATAAACCCAACCCAGGTGGCTCGGAGGTGGTCTTCCCTAGTCTCTGAGGAAGACCGCCCGACACGTACTCAACGGAAACAAGACAGGACGTCTGACAGTAGGCATGTACGGCGCCCTGACAGACACAGTACGGATATTGACCGAAGTACGAATCTGACTATGCATTTAATGGAAGTCAGAGGCACCCCTAGGTCGCCCGACAGAGCATAAGTTATCCTCACTCCTATGCTCAACTAGTATAAATACCCATCAATGGATCACATTTATGGTAACTTCCAACTACTACATTCTCTCTCTTATTTACGATTTCCTCAATCCTCTCTCTAACTTAGGCATCGAAGGAGGTCACAGGATCCCCCCTGCGGACCTTTCTTGCAGGAATTCGGAGACCGCCTTCGACCATCGAAGCCGCTCGAGGCCGTTGGGACTCACAAAAACGCTTGGTAAGATCCAAGCACAAACATTTTGGCGCCCACCGTGGGGCCCTACGACTTCGTAGCGGAAAAGATGGGAGACGATTTAGAAACACCTCTCAAAGGGATGACAGAGAACAACACCCTCCGAGGCCTATCGCCGAGAGGCAAAGATGAAGTCGAGCTTGAAGAAGTGGTCAAAAGTCAGGGCTTGCAAATCGCAAGCATGCAATACAGCCTCTCTCAAATCCTCCAACTTCTGAAGGCCAAGGAAGACCCCCCCCCCCCCCTCGGGTTCAAGGGGAAGGGTGCGTGAGGAGAAACAAAAAAGCCGTCCATGTCCCAGGCAGCCCTGCTCCGACAGAAGGCGAGGGACCGGATGCAGAAGACATGGATATCAGCTTCCTCGAAGAGCATCTCCGCTCAACCTATGGGAAGCACAAGAGTCCAAACGTTCTCCAAAACCCCATGTCGAAGGAACTCTTCAAAACTCTGGTTCCGCTTAACTTCTCCTCCCTCGGACTACCAACCTACAGCGGGACCTCAGATCCCGCAGACCACCTTTGCGCCTTCATGCTGAAGATGCAACTCATCAATGCGTCAGACTCGGATTTGTGCCGGGCGTTCCCCGTCACCTTCAGCGGTCAATGTCGAACATGGTATATTTCCCTTCTAGAAGGGAAAATTGAGAGTTTCGAGCAATTCGCTTTGCTCTTCTCCACGAAGTTCGCTTCACAACAGCGTCGCAAGCTTACCGTCTCTGCCCTCATAAACTACAAGTAAAGGAAGGAAGAGTCGCTCGCGGAGTTCTACGACCGATGGAACGCGATCACCTTCGAAGTGGAAGGCATCTCCTCGCTCGTAGCCGCCGGAAATCTCAGAATATCCACGAACAGCATCGAGCTCAAGAGAACCTTGATAAAACAGGAAGCCATGCTGACGTCGTGGTCGGACTTGGATCAGTTGGTGCGGCGAGCAATTTTGCTTGAAGAAGCGCTTGCCACAGATGACCGTGGCCAACAGGGACGTCCCAGGAACGATCCCTCAGAGCGCACAGACGCACGATGGGGGAGGCGCTCCCCAGAATGGAATTCCTACCGTAGTAGATACGCGGAGCGCGACGGAAAAAGAGAAGTATTCTCCGCCGACCGAGAAAGGTGAAGAGAAAGACGAAGAGGAGGGAGGAGGCAGGAACCGCCTTCCACCTAGGAACCACAGGAAGGAAAGAACTTATCATCTTCTTTCTCTCATCCAGCAAGCTTTCTAAGACTTGCTAGCGCTAACCTCTCTACAGTAAACAAGTCAATAGACTAGCCTTCCCCGCAGGCTTTCGAGTGCTTTGCTAGATCAGAAGTGGAATTACCCTCTCCCAACTTCATGCTTAGCACTAAGACTGAATGACTCTATGAAATTACGAGAGGTGCGACTGGCACCAAATTACTACTCACGACACCACTGAGTGTATGGATTTCAAGGCCAGCCTGAGATACTTGGCTCCGGGAGACCTGCGGAGCCACCTCGAAACTCGGCGTTCTCACCAAGACCACTCCCCAGAAATGCGGGAAGGATCTCGCAACCCGGGAGCGGACAAAACAAGAAGGTTGAGGAAGGATAGGTCACGAT